CTGAAGAGAAAAGAGAGGGTCCTTTGTTCATCCAGGACCCAAATTGTATTAGGGATTTACAAGCCAACACCTTAAATCATACCCAGGTATGAATAAGAAGCTAATATAGAAACCAGAGAACTGAGTGTCTTAAGCTCCCACCCTCCCTGTGAGATGAGATACCGAATTAAAGGACAGCTAAGTATAGGCATATAATAAACAAGTTTAATAACTAGGGGAAAACACTACAACAGAACTAGAGAAGACAGAACCTAAACTAAGTTTAAAACAAACTTTTTAAAAAAAAATTAAAAATAGCAACAAGAGAGTCTAGATACTTAAAATTCATATAGTCAAGGTAAATTAAAAAAAACAAAACACATGCACTTTTAATTAATTCGGCTTCCTTTCTAGGCTCTTACTTATTAACAGCACCCTCTTTTGCCAGTATGTGGGGATACAAAGCATCCCTTACATTGGGTTGCCTACCTTGAGCCAGGACCTCTGTGGCCAAGATAAGGTTTCATGAGCCCTGGTAGGAGGGGTGGCAAAATCCCACAGAAGAACAAGTGGACATAGACACCCCATTCACAGTAATGTCATTTGGAGGGATTAAGGCCCTAGCTAGTCCCAGCAAGTAACTATTCCCTTATCTTACTGACAGCATTTTTTTTCAAAAAATCCTTGTTCCTCAGTTTCTGTTGCCAGTGCAGCTTCTTCCCTTTGTACTTACAGGCTAGAAGTTGTAGTCAACTATCAATCCTCTGGGTGATGGTGTACACAGAAGAGGTCCTAATGATTCTGTTTGTGGCTGACAGGCCCAATTTGAAAGTGACACAGCTTGTTACAAGTTTAGTCTGAACATTCCAGCATGTGGATGTCATTTATCATTCGCTTTATCATTTGGCTAGTACAGATCACACCAAGACCTTCAGTGCATATTCCTAGGCAAGATTATGGAGGATTGAAGGCTGTGCTAGATCTACCACCCCCAACATTATGCCACTGAGACAGTCCAAAGGCCATACTGAGTCTAGATATCAGTGCCTCGATAGTTGTAGCTCCTGCCAGAGAGCAACAAATTAAAGCTCTTGCTGTTTACCCAATTCGCCAGCAAGAGCGCATTTCCGTCAGGACGATGTCCCTTAGCCTTTTTCCAGCCAAGGAGTACCCACAAGGCAGTGGGGGCTAGGGTTTTGAGGTGCCCTAAATTTGCCTTACTTTAGAGGCTGCATTATTACTGTGGCATTTTATAAGAGCTACCCTGCCACAAGTAGCCCCACCATGTTGCCACGTGTCCTCCAGTCAGATGCAGTTTACTGTCATAAGAGCTGGAAATAATCCTGCAGTGAAAGATAGCCATTAGGTGTTTAGTGTGCACCTTTCATAAGTGTTACTCAATATCTGTCTGTTAATCTCAGGCTATCTGCATTTTTTGTATATGCATGTGAATCTGACATAAGTTTCTTCCCATGGGCAGGGCAAGTAGATCATGATGGTTTATCCCACAACATATTCATAGATTTTAAGGGGAGATGCAGTCATTTTGATCATCTAGGCTGACCTCCTAAATGACACAAGCCCCAGATTTTGTACAATAGTCTTAGCCTGGATGCATCTAGCTTGTGTTTCTAGCCACTGTACCTTTTTTCAGAATGAGCAATGAAGGAGGTCACCCCACAAATTTTGCAGGTTCTTCAATTTTATGAGGCCACTGATGTTTTCACTTTTATGGTATTCTCCCATTTGCATCTGCATAACTGATGGCATGCACATCCTGAACTTTTGTGCCTGTGACTCTTCCTCAATATCTTTGAATAAATAAAGAGTAATGGTTAGACAGAACTGTTTTCCTATCGCGCAGTGGGTTGCCATAAATCACTATGGAAGGCTTACTTTAATGTCACTGGTGGATATCTGCAAGGTATGTAACACTGGGACCTTCCATAGCTCTGGCCGTGTCTCCCTGCAGAGGCACAGGACATTTTCTGAATCACTGGGATCAGTAAAGTGATCATCCTGTCACTGATTATCCCCTCACCCTCTTGGTGACCTTTCTCCTCTTGTGATTCATGAAGCCAACTGAAGGGTGCCTGGGCCTCAGGAAAGGACTTCTCAATTATTGGGTAAGCAGCACTGCAGCTGAATGTGCCTTTAGGCAGCACAGGGACAGGTGGAGAGTGCTCAGGCCTAAATTCTATTTAGTTGCTTAAATGCCTGCAACATAGCTGACCTACTGCACGAGGCCTCAGCTTACCACACTTCTAAAACATCTAAATTTCTGGTTATATCATGGAAGACTACTAAAGTTATACACCTCAATCCTCCTGTACCCTGAGGGGTAGCCACTAGGGTGGTGCGAACTTCGGCCCTTGAGTCAATTCAGCAGAGATTCAGCCCGATTTGGTGGCCGAATCTCCAAATTCGAATCGAATCAGAGGACCCTTTAATCTCTCCTAATTGAATCGGAACCCTCTGAATCGATTCGGAAAGATTCGGTGATTCGGACATAGGCACAGCTTTAAATGCTTTTTCTACATACCTCTAGGTAGCAGGCAGCTTGTGAATGCTGGGGCACATGTAGTGTCCCACAGGAGCACTAAGGGCTCCCCAGCGTGCTCTGCAGCAGACCCAGAAGTGGACCAGAAGCACTTCCAGTCCACTTCCGGGTCCACCAGGGAGCATGCTGGGGGGCTCTCCCGGGCTCTGGGCTCAGCAACTGGTGCCTCCTGGGTCTGGGGAGGCACTTGGGTTCCCCCCCAGCCAGTTGCTGAGTTGGGGATCATGGCAGGGAGCCCCCTGACAAGCTCCATGGCAGACCCAGAAGTAGACCGAAAGTACTTCTGGTCCCCTTCTGAGTTCGCCACCAAGCACGTGGAGGGCCTCCCCGCACTCCGGTGGGATGCTTGATCCGCCCCAGCATCGCAGCATTCACAAACCACACTGGTACCTCAAGGTATGTAAAAAAAACATTTAAAGCTGTGTCTGTGTCCAAATTGCTGATTCTCTGAATCAGCAAAATCCAAATCTGAATCGAATAGGGCACACTTTGCACACCTCTACTAGCCACAGCCTCCCATTTCAGAGTCAGAAAGGAAAAAGCCTGGGCACCTTCAGAAGGTGTTCCTGTTCTGAATGCTGCTCCTATTCTGCTCAGGGGAAACACAAATCTTAGCATGCATAGCCATCTCCCAATATAACAATAGGGGCACTTCTGAACTGTTCAATATGCCTCCCTCAGGAAACAATTCATGCTAACTAGTCTCATTAAGTGGGAAGGAGAGCAAGTCACTGGAAACCTGGACACTATTTCAGAATGGAGGGTACCCTGGAATTTGTCTCCTGCCTCTGATGCCACTGCAATCTCTCTAGTTTACCTAATGAGCACCATTCTTGCAAAATACAGTAATGCCATTGGGGCAGGAGCAGAAAACAAACTGCATAGCCTGCTCTCCCTCTCACCCCAGAACACAGACCAAGGCCTCCTATGGTTTGTTCCCACTCTGTTCCCACATAACTTCCTTTCTTAGCTGCCTTGAAGGAGAGAGATCCTGCCTACCTAGTGATAAGATGGTCAGGGCACTTAAGAGGAAGATGTGTTTTTAAAGCCTTTGAAAGTTGCAAGTAGGGGCTAGAACAAAGATCTACTTCTGGGGCAGATGCTGTAACCACTGGAGTGTTGTGCTAAAAGGCTGAAGATCCCACCTTTGAATGTTCTGACATCCAACCATTGCTAATCATGGGTTTCTTGTGCATAAAACTTCATGGACTTACTCTTATTTACTTGCCTACCCAATGGAATGTAGTCACCACAATGCAAATACGGCCAGAGTGAGTTCTTCTGAGAGTGCTCAACTGAACAAATATACATCAGGCAGGTGGAAATCAGATCCAAAAGCTATTCAGGTTGCAAGAATTCCTCTTATAGTTATAGTTAAATGTGTCAGTAGTGTTTCAGTGAAATGGATTTGGGCTATCATGTCTAATTCAAGGTGTCAGTGCTCATCTTCAGGGCTCTTAATGGTTTAGCCTTGAGATATGTAAACACTACCTCACGTTTTAGGCCTGTGCTCCTCAACATTTTCCCTCAGATGGAATAGAGTTGTTTCCTGCCTGCTCATGACTCACTATTGAAGAGACAGAGCTTTCATGCTCTGATGAAATTCCTTGAAAATCATAGGCACCAAATGACAGTTTCCATTGTATGTGCATGTGGGCTACTTCAGCCTGCCTTCAATTATTAGAATCTGTGCCACGTCATAAGATCAAAGAACTAGGAACCCTCATCCCTTTATATTAAAAAAAAATCATATGTATCTTTGCTTTTGAGAGAGGGATGGAATAAAAATAACTCATGAGAAAATATTTCATAGTACAGAGTATTGTACAATGCTCAGATGTTACCAAGATGGGTGTGGAATAAGAATTTTAAAAGAAGGAAAGACAAGTCTTTTTACTATTTTCTAACCATGTGAGTGTATGTTAAAACACCTGAAAATGACATGCCATTAATCACCTGAACATCTAGATGCTGAAGCATGGGTTAGGATCACATCCATTCCTAGGAATTGGTCACTATTCCTGTACACAAAATTTCACTTCTGACATCCTGCCTAAAAGTTTTCTGTACTTGAGAAGGGAAGCTCTACCATCATTAACTTCATGTGGTTCAATCTCCATTTCTCTCCCAGACCATCCCTAGGGAGCCACCCAATACATCTAGAGAAAGAAGTACCCTCTCTGGAAGAGTATGTCAAAAAGTTTTAATAAGAAAAAGCATAAATTCATAATACAGAAATTTTAGGAATAAAGTAGGAAACATCCAGAAAATCTAATCATGGAAAATTACAGGGGATATTAGAGAACCTTTATGAGTCGAACTCCAATAAAAGCTGGTCCAACTAGTTCTGCAGCAGAGATTATTTCTGATGCTGCTATACTCAGTGAGCATTTCAGAGAGAAAGAATCTAAATTTACACATTATAGTCTCTGCAGACTATTTACTTTAAACTCAGTCATTTTTATATTGATGCTCCAGAGATGACATCTTCAACATCATCATAACCTGCATCCAAAGGAGGTAGGGATGGGTCATCTCTTTCAGCAACAAAGGACCCTTCATTTCTTAAGGTGTGCAAACTCCATCCTGAAAATATCAAAATAGGTACATGACAGTTAAGGCATCCATTGAGTACCCATATATGTTCATGTAACACAAGTGTACAGCCTCTTAATTGTCCCAATTCTGGTCTTCTATCTGGGTCTCTAATAAGTGTTCATTACCACTCTATATGTATTCGAGATGGTTACAGAATGACTGGCATTTTAGACATGATTGCATAACAGCTGAAAAATAAAGTCTTACTCTTGTATATTCTGGGGGGGGAGTGTGTGGGGCATGGCTGGGGGGTGTATGGTGGGGTGTGGGATGTGTATGAGGGTGTGTGGGGGGAGGATGTGGCAGGGTGTGGCTGTGGGGGGGATGTAGGGTATGTTGGGGAGCATAGCTGTGTGTATATGTGGGAGGGTTGTGGGGGAATGTCAGTGAGTGTGGGGTTTGTGGGGTATGAGGCAGGGTGGGGGCATGTGGGCCCCTCCCACACTCTCCACCCCCACCCTTGGTGCACAGCCCCTGCCATCAGGGGCAGCAACAGCAGGTGGCAGGCCCTTGGGGGATTCATGGCCCATACAGGTGCAGCCATGTGCCATGTGACAGCGTGCAGCTCCAGCCAGTTCTGAGAGCTGCACATGGCAGCAAGAAGCGGCACCAAGCCAGCCGCCTCTTATTGCGTGGAGCTCCCCATGGCTCATGGGGATATCCTGCACCCTGTGGGGAAAGCCCTATGCAATGAAGCAAGCTGCTTTCCCCACTCTCTGCTGCTATGTGCAGCTCACAGGACTCTTCCACGAAGCAGGGGGCAGGGCTCTCTGCCACTTCCAGCAGAGTCCCGTGAGCTGCACATGGCATCAGGGATCAGGAAAGGCAGCCAGATCCATACCACAAGAATTCTCCCGCATATGGATCAAGTCCTAGGAGCTTCACAAGCCCTGCATGATAGAGGCAGTTGGACCTGGCTCTGCTCCTTGCTGCAACGTGCAGCTCCTGGAACTGGCTGGAGCCATGTGCCGCTAGGTGGCTGAGCCCAAGCTGGTCATAAGCACCCTGAGAGCCCACCACCTGCTGCTGCTGCCACCAGGGTCAGAGGCTGTGTGCCAAGGGGGGGCATGCGGGGAGGTGCCCAGCCCCCCCACCCTCCCTGACACCCCACAAACCCCACACATCCACACCTGCACCCTGCCCACCTCCAGACTCTGGCTGCCTGGGTGAGGGCCCTGGCCTCCTGCTAGCCCCACCCTATGTTCTGTGCTCCTGCCTAGCTGCAGCTTCCCTACCTTATGCCCAGAGTATGTATTGCATCAAGGATATGAGGAGGAGCTCCTGGAAGCTGGGAAAGCTGAGCAGGTCCCCCAACCACTGCAGCAGCGGCCCCACCCAGAAGCTGTGCATGCTGGCTGAGACCCTTCCATACAGGAGGGTGGGAGCAAAGCACACAGGCTGGGCAGGGTACAATTAATTAGTGGGTGCCTGTGAGCCAGCTGAAATTGCCTAGAAGGTCAGACCTGGCCTGCAGGCCATAGTTTGCCTGCTCCATCCTAGACTTAGCCTCAGAAGGAGTATCCCACCTTAGCCTGGATGTAACTGAGCAGGTAGCCTTTTTTCACCTGATGGTCCAGACGTTACCTCTGTGAAGCTATCCGCCCCAGGTGTCTTAGAATCATAGACTCATAGAAGATAATTAGAGTCAAAAGGGACCTCAGGAGGTCATCTAGCCAAGCCCCCAGCTTAAAGCAAGACCATTTCCAGCTATATCAGTCCAGCCAATGATTTGTCCACCCAGGTCTTAAAACTTCTAAGGGTAGAGATTCCACAAACTCTCTGGGTAGCTTGTTCCAGTGCTTTACTCCCCTCCTCATGAGAATGTTTTTACTAAGATCTAACCTAAATTTTCCTTGCTGCAACTTGAGACCATTGCTCCTTGCTCTGAGCTCCTTGCTCTGAGGACAGTCTAGCTTCATTGTCTTTGTAACCACCCTTCAGGTATTTGAAGGCTGTAATTAAATCCACTACAGTCTCTTTTCCAGACTAAATAAGCCCAGTGCCCTCAACCTCTCCTCACAAGTCATGGGTCCTAGTCCCCTGACCATTTTCACTGACCTCTGCTGGACTCACTCCAATTTGCACACAACCTTCTGTAGTGGGAGACCCAAAACTGGACACAGGACTCCAGGTGTAACCCCACCAGTACCAAACAGAGGGGAAGAATTACTTCCCTCAATCTTCTAGCAACATTCCTACAAATTCAGCCCAGTATGCTGTTAGCCTTCTTCACAGTAATGGCACACTGTTGGCTCATATTCAACTTATTGTCCACTGCACCCCCCAGGTCCTTTTCAGCAGAGCTGCTGCTTAGCCAGTAAGTCCCCAGTCTCTGCTGATTCATGGGATTATTCCATCCTAAGTGCAGGACTTTGCACTTGTCCTAATTGAACCTCCAATTTGTCTAGTTCTCTCTGAGTCCAGCAGTACCCTCAAGCATATCTACTACTCCTCACAGCTTGATGTCATTGGCAACCTTGCTGAGGGTGCACTTCATCCCATCTTCCAGATAGCTGATGAAAACATTGAACAAAACCACCCCAAGGACTGACCCCTGGGGCACTTCACTCATTGCCAGCTGCCAACTAGACAGCAAGCCATTGATTATAACCCTGTGAACCCAATGATCCAGCCATTTTTCTGTCCACCTTACAGTCCATTCATCCAAACCATACTTAGCTTGCTTGAGAGAATGTTGTGGGAGTGTGGCAGGGCACTGTTTGTGCCTGCCACTTTAAGACCTGGGGCCAAGCAGCCAGCAGGTGCTTAATTGCGACGGCCATTTTAGAACTCTGACCACCCATATAAACAGGGCAGTTTGCTACTGGCAGCAGAGGCAGCAACATTGCTTGGCTGTGAGTCTTCATAACAACCTGGAGGTAAGGGAGAAGCTGTAGGGGATGGTCTGGAAGCTCTTGGTCCTGGGCATAACCTAAAACTGCACCTTGCTGGGAGTGGGTGGCCTGATGGGGCTGTCAGTGGTGTGGAAGCATCCAGGAAATGCCAGGCCAGTGATCATCCCAATGAAAGGCAGGTTGGGATGCTTTAACCCTAGCTCCCACAACTGGGTGGGTTAACCCCTAGTAGGGGCTAGAAGGTGGACCCATGAGAGATAGTTGGGCTAGAGGCTCAGAGGCCCGATTGTAGAGTACCCTTGATGGTCCTGGGCTGGGGCCAGGACCAGAACGGTCAAAAGGTCCAGGGGCCCACAGCCAGGGATGCCCAGAGCTAGGAGGTCCTGGAGTTTCTGACTGGCCTTGGAGGCGAGGCCAGGGCCTATGTGGTCAAAGGTCCCGGAGGGGGACCATGCCTGAGAGGGGAAATGGTTCAGGGAGCTAAGCAGCCCTGAATGAGGGCAGGGTAGGCTGCCTGAGTGGAGGGATCCAGTTGGGGTCTGAACTGGATGATTCTGGGACCCAGTGTGGGGCCGGTGAGAGTAACATCTAAGGATGCCATCTGTGAGGCATGGGCTGTGGTGCAGATAGTGCCCACTGGCATCAGGGCAAGAAATAGGCAGCCTCCTTCTTAATTAACAGCAATTAATAACCAGGCATGGCAGGAGAGAAGGCGGGTGGTTGTCCCAGAAACAGGCGGGCAGGCCAAAGGCAAATCAGCCCAGAGAAGGCCCGCTGTTACAGGGAGACAGTATCACAAGTTTCGCTTAAGTATAGTAAATCATGTCCACTGCTCTCCCCGCATCCACAAAGCCAGTCCTCTCATCCTAAAATGCAATCAGGTTAGTCGGGCATGAATCCATGATGGCTTTCATCTTAATGAATCCACAGTGACTCTTCCTTATCACTTTCTTCTCTTCCATGTGCTTAGAAATGGATTCCTCAAGGACCTACTCCATGACTTTCCGAAGGACTGAGATGAGGCTGACTGGTCTATCATTCCCTGGATCCTCCTTCTTCCCTTTCTTAAAGATGGGAACTATATTTGCCCTTTTCTGATAGCCTGGGAACTCTCCTGATTGTCATGAGTTTTCAAAGATGATGGCCAGTGGCTCTGCAATGACATTAGCCAACTCCCTCAGCATCCTCAGGTGTATCCCATCTAGCCCCATGGACTTGTACATGTTCAGCTCTTCTAAATAGTCCCTGTTGGCTGCTCATCTCATCCCCAAACTGTGCTTCCAGCTGCAGTAGTCCAGTAGCTTTCCTTGCCTCTCAAGGCTGAGGTAAAAAAGGCGTTGGGTTATTCAGTCTTTTCCTCATCATATAACACTAGGTTGCCTCCCCGATTCAGTACCGGACCCACACTTTCCCTGATCTTCCTCTTGCTGACATACTCTTAGAAATCCTTCTTGTTAATCTTCAAGTCCCTTGCTAGCTGCAATTCTAATTGGCATT